ACACTCCTTTGGTCTTCTGTCGTTGTCATCATTGTGGTCACTAAACACAATGGTAAGACATGCATGAATATTCTGCACATCAAAGACCAGGGTTGTCTTTTTTTAATTGATCCGAAAAATCTGCGTAAGTGTATTAAGTTGTAACAGAACTAGTGCAAGTTCTTCACATTTTTTTTCAAAGTTCTGGTTCAAAACAAAAATCTATTGTAAAACTATGCATATCATCTGAAAGCACTTTTCTTCAAGGACTGTGTTCATTTCAAAATTACCTGTTGTTGAAATCAATAGACTAATAGTTGAAATTTTTCCTTTTACACTCTTTGCTCTAAATTCAACGCAAAAAATCGAAATTTTGGCAAATTGGCGCAATGTTTGTATATGATCTGGCTACAAAATGCATGTTGAAGCAAATCTTCCAAAGCTGCAGGACTGAGAAATTTTTATTTCAAACTCAAACAACCGCTGCTATGATTGTGCAGCGTATGAAAAACCTAAATGCAGGGCCGTTGCGAAGCTTTCGCCGTGTGCAGAAAGAATAGGCATAGATAGCAAAAAAACCCAGGAGCTGCAAATCTCTTGGCGACAAGAAATAAAAAAAGCAAAAAAGCAACTTTTCGTTATTTTAGAGCACTTGTGAAAAATGAATGATTACAAATTTTTTGCAATATTTTTTATCAACATTTTTTTCGTAAAAATCACTCACACAGTGAATGAAGTTTGTACCATTCTGCTGCATCGCGTAATGAGTTATGGTCTCTCAAACTGAAGGTTTTTTAAGAAAACTTTTGGCAATCCCCGGGCTATGAAATTTTCCTCAGTGAAGCTACAACAATATGGCAGTGTGTATTAAATTGCAAAGACTTCCTGATTGTAGTATTAGTGGAAACGGATTGACTATCTCTGTAAAAAGTTGTAGTAATCCAAACCCAAAATTTGGGAAAACCTGCATTAATTCTGTTACAATCTAATAGTAATCAATGGGTTTTGTTTTGCACTTAATGAAGGGCTTTACTACAAGGCTCGGCATAAGGTGGCTTTTTCAATTTTTCAAGAACGAAGTCCCCGTAGACTTCGCCACGAGATTACGACATCACCTATGACCGACATTATGAATGGTTAAAAACGAATAACGAGAAATAATGGAACAAAAACATAAAGAATAAAGAAAAGATTGAACAGAGGAAAAGAACTGAAAATGTCCGTATCCTCCGAATTGATGGCATGCTGTGTCCGGCGCGTACCCTTGCGCGCTTCGAGCAGGCTTGCCGCCGCCACACAAAATATTTGGGCTGTAACTAAGCGGGGAAGAGAGGGTTTGGGGAGATTCATGGACGCAGTTGTAAGGTTTTTGATATAAAACAAAGCTGTGTCAAACAAGTGAAAAAATTATGTGAAGGGAAAAAAATTTATGACTTTCCTTTTTACAGCCACCTCAGGTGGCTGTCCAGGTGGCTGGAAAGCCACCTAACTCTAAAAAAAGTTTGCCACGCCTTCACTTCTTATAATTTTTTCAAAACTTTTTGCACATAGTCCTAACTCCCTATTGCCCATCTACACATCAATTTTGGTGTCATTGCCTTTTCTTTCGCTGAAATCAAAGTCTTTTGTTTGCTGTTTATTTCGGGCAATTCGCGCGCTTACCCGGCGAACCTGCTGAAACAGGAGATTTTTGGTTTTTGCAGGAATGGGATCGACAAGACAGGAGAGACATGGGGTGGCTGATATTTCCGCTTAAACGATATCCCCCTTGCTTTTTGTTCCAAAACGATATCTAGCTTACCGTGTAAGCCACCTGTGCCGAGCCCTGCTATAAGTAAAATTTATTGATAATTTGAGCTGCATAAAACCAGGCTCTGATGAAAGCATTATAAGAGGTCACTTTGGCAATGCAAAGAATTAGCGAGACTAATTGAGCAGAAGGTTTCTAGTAAGTGATTTTTGCAAAACTGCCTTTGCCTTTGCATCTGCGGCTCTGTGTGCTAAGAGGCCTCATCAAAAATGTAGAAGCTTAATATGTTAAAATGTCTTCATAAACCTTATAAGGGCTAAACTTAACTCGAAAATATTTCGAACCATGTTTCGCGTATAAATTTTTTGCGGTCCTGTAGAATACGCTCTCTCAGCAATTCAAATCTTGCATTGACTTCTCATTAGTTTTAGCATAATGTTAAAAAAAACTTTCTTTTTATATTGGAACATACCGTGAAGAACAGGCTGTTGGAACGTCTGCTTGTTGTTTTAGGAATGGCTGCAGCATGAACGTTTTGGCAAGCTATTGCCGCAGTTTGCCGTCCTAGAATACGGCCATCTACTTCAAGAGAAAATGCCGTAACGCGAGTAAACAAAACCCAGGCTCCTGGAGATCAGGAGGGAGAACAGGATAATAGTCACTGCGATACCCGTTCGCATACATCTTCACCATTTGCTACATCAGACATGGATTATATGGATTATCATAGTTGCGATAGGGGGAGTGATGGATCTTACCCCTTCACTTTGAGGCCAAACTCCGGATGACCCCCTTCATCTGGGCTGAGATTGGTATTCGCTGAGAATATAAAATAAAAATCGTTATTAAAAGGTTTTGCAGACTAAGTATCTCAAACAACAAGTACGCTCATAAATTTACAGAAGAAACGGTATTTATGTTTTTTCATATTATTTATTTATAAAAAAAAAGCATCTGCAGAAGCACAAACTCTTTCCGAGCATTTATAAATCGTCCCTGAGCGTTACAGTTCCATAAAAATCAATCACTCTTATTTTAATAAAATAATCAACACTTCTTCTTAGCTTTGTTCAAAGCTACAACTCTCTTGGGTATATTGCGACGGTAAGTAAGGACGCAAAATCAGTTGCTTTTGAAGTTTATGAAACCCTCATATCTCGCGACACAGAAGACCTAGAAAAATGCCGATGGATTACCCTAATTTCACGCGTACAAGGCGTGGGGAATTTTTTCCATAATCGACCACCCCAAGTACGCCAAAGAGCTCCGCAACCAAAGGACCCTATGCCTTGCTGTATATTGCTTAAGAGAATCGTGCGGCATGAGGATCGCTTTCCGAGATAATTTAAAGAGGCTGAGGGGCTTAGTCAAAAAATCGAAAAAGGTGCGCCTTGTACGCGTGAAGTTAGGGTACTTCGATTCTCCATGATCTCAGCTTTCGAATGGTATACAGCAAGTTAGGGCTTCTTTGCTTCCCGGCTCTAAAAAACACTTGCTCCTCCGGTGATTCATAAAACCAACACATTGTAAGAGCGAGGTGGAGCAAGCTAAAGTAAAAAATGTGCTGTGGAGTGACATCGTTATCAGCACTAACGGGAACGCGAGAGAACTATTATATGTTTATGTCTTTTGGTAAAAAATGCGCTTTTGATTGACAGTTGTGCCATCGCTGTGCTTTATGCTGCTGGAAGTATCTCGCCTTGTGACATTATGACCTATGATATTTTAAAAAAACCAACGCGCAGAATAGCCTACTTTTTTTCGGCTATTCCGTAGATGCTGTTGAAGAAGAAGTTGAGCAGCTTTCTCGTCAGCTAACAAGATGTATGCCAGAGGAGGTGAAGCCAGAGTTCGACAAGGCAAAGGGTATGCAATATTTCCTTCCCGTGTTGCGAAAGCATATGCGATCTGGCTCTTTCCCCATTACTTACCGCAAAAATCTGATGGACTTACTAGCATAGCTAGTTCCCATTCCTACTAACACGGCAGGGGTGGAGAGGGGATTTGCTATCTACTCTGTTAACAGAACGCAACGCAGAACTCGTACAACGTGGAACATCTAAGCAATTATTTAAGATTTGTCAACATTCTACTACAGTCTGCTCCAATCGGGACCAGGCCGAAGAGTCGGTGCAATTTTGCGCGCTCGCAACGCTAGCGGTCTGCGCTGCATATGCGCGCTATCGGAGAGAACCAAAGGATTGAAGAGAGTACAGAGAAGCAGGTTGTGGGCGTAGCCACGAAACCCTAGCGAGGCGGTCTCCCGCCATGCCAATTTTGGCCTGTTTAGGATTGGGCAGACTGTAAACATATTGTCATCTAAAAACTTCATTTGAAGGAATTGCTATAGGTGGTCCAGAAAGGCTGTCATCATGTGACTTTTTAAAATATCCTAAAAGATGATATAAAGAAACTGGTTACCTACCTGCTGACTTCCTGGTGCTACCAGAGGGCCAGGAAAAAAACACAAAAGCGCTTAGAAAAAGAAGAACGTTTCAAATCCATTTTCTACTCAAAACGCTTTTTGACGCAATTCTACTTCTAATCCGATGATCTTTTGAAGGAAGAAGAAGCTCTTTCAGGCAGCGAACTTGTTGTCTCTGACGTTAGCAATGGTGATATTGTTGATGATGACGTGCAAAAGTTGTAAGTTGTTCTTAACTTACATACATCGTACATCTTTGGGGATAAACCTTATTGCTTTCGTTTTTTGTTGATGCAATGAAATAGGAGCACAGATCTTCATAAATTTAATTTTTTGATTTATTATTTTTTTCAAGTTCTAAAAAAAATTTTTTTTTCAATTTGTACCTAAATAAGGTGTAAATTAGAGCTCTTCATACCACGCATTTTTACCTTTTCTCTCCTCCTCCCCCCCCCTAGGCTCACATACCCCCTTCACCCTGGAAGGTCGGAAACAGCCGAGACCCCCTTAACTTGGGGGAGAGCCCGCCTTCCCCTATCGCACCTATGGTCCCGACTGGTGGTGCGTTTGCGTTTAAATTTTGTAAAGAAACCTTTCACCAGTTGGGGATCGCGAACGAAAATGGGAGTGCATGTCCACATTTCAAGGCGGAACAATAATAACAATCATGGGGACGATCGAAATGAGCATCTTTGTCAGTCGTAGCACTTGCACTGGACAGTAGTAATACTGGTAGTAGCGGTATGGTTGAACCTTGAACTCGCTTGAAAGCTATTGTGAAGTCTTGAAATAGGAAGGGAGCGCTCACTTGACATCTCTTGTTGGAACAACTAGAGGTCTTTTATGATGCTAGCCAGTCCACAAGTGCGTTGCTATACTTTTTATGCTTTGAACTTTAGCAGCTATACCAGTGGTAACTTACATTATCAGGATATCTTAAACAATTGCTGCACCTTTTAGCAGTGCACGTTGGTAATGCTGTTTCTATCAATAAGTGGCAGCCAAGTTTGGGTGAGCAGCAGGAAAGGGAGTTGCTAGCTTCTTCATGTAAAGTTGTAGCAAATGATGTGGAGGTAGTCTTGCTTTGTTTTCTGTTACTTACACTGAATAGAGTTATCTGTCATTATAGCCGAGGTACTCATCTTTGTCTCCCGATCAGCTTCGTAAAAAAGTGCATCTTCGTTCACGTTCTTCCGCTTTCGCCGCTCTGCTCCGATTGCGGTCCAAGCTTTTGACGAAAATCCATGAGTATTTTATGGTACGTACAATTGCTGAACTCTCTAGTTCTAATTGAAATCTGTTTTTTTTTAGAAGCGTGGCTATGTCCATATTGATACGCCAGTTATCACAGCGAATGACTGCGAAGGAGCTGGGGAAACGTTTTCCATAGCTGAAGTGAATTAAGCCTCAGATTTTGTTATCTTGGGTTGCTGCTTATTTATAGCCCTTTTCTTCTAATCGTCTGTTTTAGCCGACTTCAGGGGAGGAATTCTTTGCTAAGAAAGATGCTTTTCTGTCCGTCAGTGGTCAGCTACATCTAGAGGCCATGGTAAGGTTCGTTGTATGTTACAAAATGAATTAATCACTATGTTGTAAATGAGAATTTGCCTACGCGGACCAAGCCCTAGTATGCTTTTTATGTCCTGAGTCATGTCTCGTTTCTATTAGTTCATGCTACTGTACTGTAAAAAGTTGTGATTGCCATTTGGGCATTGTCTGCGTCCGCTAATTCAAATAGCTATTAGATCTCTAATTCTATTGTTTCTTCCGCCTAATGAACAAGTTTACTACTTCGCTGTTATTTCAGCGGCATAGATGCAGAGATTCGAGAACGAGGAAAGCCCATATCAGGGGGATTTGGCTTAGGCTTTGAGAAATTGTTACAGCTGTTATTAGGAGTACCAAATATTAAAGACACCATTCCTTCTCCTAGATAGTTCAAACATTGTCAATGCTGAGCTTATTATTGTCATGCACAGGGTCTAGGATTAGATGTTTCATTTTTTTTGATTTTTACTTTGTGCAAATTCATGAATACTGCCATACATTGCATCATAATAAAATATAATATCAAAATGGACTGGTATGTCTGGCGTCTATCGCTTTGCATTTCCGAGGCAATACTTCTTTGTTAACACTTCGTCCAAACAATACCTACACTTGCATGTTTTTTTCAGTCATAGTCGTTTGCATAATCGTTTGAAGGGGAAGGGGGAGCATGGTCAGAAACGGAGTTTCGAATTTCCTATCATTTTGTCCTTGATTTGTAGTCAAGATCAAGCAAATGGCTAAGAGTAGCCTATATGAAATTTGACGAAAGCTTTCTAAATTCAATATTCTAAGTTCTGGTTCACACAGTCAGGTAGAATTCTACATCAACATGTTCTACATGAAGTCACAAAACCTAAAGAATTCGTAATTTTTGAGAGTAGGATCGTACAAAAAATCCTAACAATCTCCATTATCACGAACGTATCCTTCATATCAGACGTTTTTATATAAACTGGCTGTTTTTCCGTTGATAGAGATCAGGTTAGATTCAAGAAATACCAAGAACACAAAGGTGTCGATGTTTTTGAATATTTTACTCTATTAGGATTTATAGCATACTTAAGTTTGCTAAGGCTGAAAAATTACGGCTACTGTTTGATGGTCTTCAATAGATACTCACGTGAAGAAAAAACTTAAAGCTGTTCTGTTGGACCTTACCAATTTTCGTGTTCTCACATTCTGACCACGAAAAAAAACATTAACTGCATATGTGGATGTACGATGTGGATAGTACGTATTACATGAACGCATTTGAGTTCCGTAGGATTTGTTACAAAATTCTTAGATTTTGGTTTGTATCTCTGTAGCGGAATCCTATGCCAATGTTTGGAAGCCATTTTGTACATTTTGTTTGCTTTGTCAAGTAATTACAAAGGATATTAACAAGGTCAACAGGTCCTCTTTGAATTTGACAATATTATGGCAGGCGCTATACCCCTCGAGGAGTATAGCATGGCGACGGGCGATCGCCAGTCGCCAATACTGGCGACTGTGTCTTCTATGCGTATAGATCGCTAACAAGTGACCACACGTCCAATCGATACACATTTAATGTGTAGTCGCCAACACTGGCGACTGGCGATCGCCAATATCGGCGACAAAAATCGCCAGTTTTACACGTATTTGATGCATATCGATCGTCGCCATAGGCAGGCATTGTCTCATAGGCAGGCGCTATACTCCTCGAGGAGTATAGCGCCTGCCTATGAGACAACCCAATACGTCTCTACATGTTTAGTGCGCACGTGAGTTAGTGGGAAGTTTTTGAGGATTTCGTGGGACAAAGATCCCACTTTGGTGATTACAAGTCTAATCAAGTAATCGCTCTTTTTTTTGTGCGCACAATGTTTATGCAAATGTTTGAAGGTCATTCTGTAGAGCTTGTGTTGTTTCATAAATCTATTAGGTTGTAAGAAAAGTTCCCGGGCAGTTTTGGAAATTCCATTTTTAGACTCATTTTTTCGCACTTATTTGAATCATAACGACGAATATTTTATATGATTCTGTAGGAAAAAGCCCAAGCTTTGTGGACTTGCATTCAATTTTTATCGATGACGAGCCGTTTTGACCTGGACACCAAAAAGGAAGATTGTGCAACAATGGAAATTTCACGTTTTTTCTTTTTGCTGCCATTTTTTCGCAGTGAACAAAAAAAAACAGAGGTTGGTCAGTCTGAATAAGGAGGCTGTCTACTTTGAAATCGCGACTGTGCTCGGATTTTACAATACGCGCACAATTACATGACCTCGAAGTTGCCTTTGATTGTACCTGTTTTCGCAGTCGGCGTCGATTTTGTAAATATCGTCACGCCTCGGTGATGGGTCCAGAAGATGTGCAAGACATTACCCCAACAATATTTGCAGCAATCAAATATTTGATTCATTCCGTGTGAAAAAGGAAGACTTCAAACTCATTTACTCAAGACTGGGGCATGTTTGAGGTACAAAAATGGCTGATTTTTTGATTTTTCGATTTTGCACAGGCTATGCAGAAAAATTGTGGCACATTCTACAAATAACCTCATCAAAGTTTGACCTAACTACCGGATACGACCTCTCCGGCTCTCATTGTGCCTGAGAAATTCCTGCACGAACATGCAGGATTTCAAGTCCACCTTCTTCCCTACTGCGCATGCTGGTGGCCCGAAATGAAGCGCTGAGGACCCAATGGATTGAGCATAATTTGTAGACAACATTGCCTTTCCAGAGGAGTTTGCAGCTTTCAAAAAGGATCAATCTGCTTGAAGTTACAGCAGTTTGAAAAAATTTTACAAGTGCTCGGGAACTTCCTCTACAACCTAATACAACCAGGCCGTCATCAAGTTCAAATAACTAAAGAGATGGATAACATTTTCAGGAAAACCTAATATATAGAACCTATTCATAACATGGTAAAGTTCAAGAGTCGTTATATCCTTTTGGAGATGGAGAATTTCTCTGAAACTGTTATTCTTGACTCGCGCAGCCTTATTCACAAGTATAGCGGAAACTGTTGGAGATTTTCATGGTGATCGAGGATTTGCTTGGGTCAGAGCTGGACTTGTGGTCAGTCCTAATATAATTTGAAAATTTTGTAAATAATCGCTGAACTTGGATATATTGTTGATTCAGGTAAAAGTTATTGATGGAGACATTGCATTGGTTCGAGTGGAGTCGTCAAGCGAAAAATTTGTAACCAGTGTTATACCATTCATCACCAACATAAATGGAAATGAGCTCATCCTTTGAACCCTCTTCATCGGTGGGTTCCAGGACAATTTCCAAGCTTGAGCCATTTCATCAGGTTTCCAGGCCGGAGCATCAGAGCTTGTGACAAATTTGTTATCAAATATCGACGAAAGGAACTTTATGGTCTTTTGAGAACAGCTGAGACAGGAGGTAAGTTTTTGATGTGCGATTTTGCAAGACGTGATAGCTGTTTTACAGTTGAGAAGAATGCGATACTGAAAGTTGTGAATTCCGTTACCGGGAAGTTGGAGTGAATGCAATGCTTTGTTCTCTGCGCTGTATATAAACCATGTTGTCTGTTCTTGTTAGGCTGAAGATGATGATATGCCATCTCCACTTAGGCTTTCAAAGCAAAAGATCATAAAGTGAATGTTAAGAGTAGAATAAAATCAAAATCATCCTCTTTGATCGTGGTCAATTGTATGTTTGCTTAGAAAAAACCTTTATTGTTTTTTGGATACGATCTTATGCACATCGTCATGTTGTCAGCCCCTCTATGTTCTAGGTACGGTAGCACACATTACGGTAAGGATGAGGTGCTAATTGACCAGTGCAGACACTGGTTGGAAACAGGTTTGAAGGCAGTGTCCAGGCAAATCTAGGCATATGGGTTTTTTGCCGGGAAACTGATGAGGAGGTTCTAGCTAAGGCTTTGCCCAAACCGCAGCGCAAATAATTCATTCACGGCTGAGAAATCCACCCCCAAACACTCCGCGGCTGCGCCGTGACAGTAACACTTAGGATGTGGGTCCCAGCGCGAGCCAGTGTTAAAGTAAGCAAAGTCGTTTTCGGATTACGGTCACGGCGCAGGTGCGGGGTTTTCGTGGGACGGAATTCTCGGCCATGAGTGAACAATTTGCACTTTTCCCTTGGGCAGTGCCTTAGCACCCCCTCATCAACCCCAGGCGAAAAACCCACGCGCCCGATTGGCCTGGACACTGCCTTTGAGTGAGTCTTTCACTAGATTTTTGCACCATTTCCCGACAAACTGGGCGAAGTTTATAGTCGTTTACAGTCTCCCGATAAATTAGGACTTTGCAATGTTCATAAAAAACCAGTATTTCAGTACAATGGTCACTTCTGCTGGTACTTGCTAGTGCAAAGGCTGTGAGAGAAATCATTTCAAGTCGCAACTTTAATGCAGCACTAATTTCTGCATTTCATTTGCAGTAAATTCACCTTCCCATTTCATTGCTGTAACATCTGTAGGAACTTCTAGTTATGGAAAAGTTCACTTCAAGAAATTACACATGAAACTGGAAATCGCATACTGTGTTCAGATAAACCGAGTTTAGTTTAGTGTTTATAAACTTGGGGACATGGTCTGATGAACTACAAAAATTCTCTTATCTTCCTACTTCTACGTAAATGCCAGTAGTGTCCGTTTTACTGGAGAAAGCTCTATGGCGCGCTGAAAAGCTCATGATCTACAGTTCTTCTGAAACCTTCTCCGAAGGAGGTATTAACATAGCAGCTGAATCCGGCGAAAAATCTGTATTTTACTATATACTGTAAAATGAATTGAGTTTATTTAGTAACTGCGCCGGATGTAAAAAATTGACAGCGATCTCAACCAAGTGCTTTAGAATCTCATGATAAACCCTCTTCTCAAGCGCTTGGATTTCTTATTCTACATGTGGTTTCTGCAATGGCTTCCTATGAAACAGACGAGAGCTGCTGTTCTACAAGCTTCAAAGGCTTTTTCCAATAGTCGCTTTTTCCAGTGGGGTCAAAAATTGTTGGTCAAGTCTCATTTTCAAACGATTTTTTTTTCTTTCAAACACCGCTTTGGCAATTGACACAGCATTACTTAAGCGGTATTTTTCCTTCGACCCTTTTCGTATAGTAGGACCCGTGCATCGTCAACTTTTCAAAGACTTTTGAAAAGAGCTTTTTGAGCGCTTTTGCATGATACACTAAAATCTCCATGTTCTTGCAGTTAAAGGCCCAGTGACTTGAAGTTAGAAGTCAATTTACTAAATGGAGAACAAATAACTTCGAAGTTAACCTTTCATGTAAATGGCAATCAAATAACTTCAAAGTTGATAGTTCTTCTTGTAAATGGAATTTTGATAGCTCTGAAGTCAAAATACAAGAGATTTGACCTGTACTCCAAGAGACTTGTATGCGTGCTACAACATCTTAGGTAGATTTTTTCACATTATGAGCTATGAAAAGAGTTAGTAGCGCTATATTTGAAAGATGTGGGTTGGTTACAGTACATAACAGTGAACTTCCTCTTTCATCTTCTTTTATCGAAACGAAGACAATGACAAATCTATTCGGACCTTACCATTACAAGACTTGGCAAATGATGGTATCGCGGGTCATAACAGACAGCAAATCTATCGATCTGTCGTTTTATCAGCATGTGTTATCGCATTCTTTCAACTCCGTTCTCTTTCTCCGAGTTTGCCAACGTTTTTCTTCTTTTACAGATTCTGTCTGCAAAAGATAACGTCCAGTTTTTTACGAGCATTTTCTCACACTGAAAGAGCTCTGGAAGTCTAGCGCGAGAGTGAGAGTTAATAACGTCGTTTTGGCCAAAACACAACTAGGAGAATTGGTGCTTTTTCAAAAGTGCCGTCATTTTTCAAATTTAGAAATATCTTTTGATTCATAACATAGAAAACCTTACATCTTATTCATCAACAACTAAAAACATGAAACAATTCTTTGGCACTGCATTCTGGGAGTTTATACTTTACAATATCTTCATGTGAGACCTGCTGCACATCTGAATTTAACCCAATCTTACTGCTACCCCATCGCTAACGAATAATATATATGAAGTCGTTATACAATCAATTCAATGAGCGTTTTGCGAATTGAATTTCAACTATCATATACTTATACGACTTAATGCAAAGTGGGTATCCCAACAAAAAGCAGAAAGATTATATTAAATAAAAGCCTTTGCGTATATGTGTTTTGACAGAATTCAAGTTGAGAAATTGTTGAGAACCCCTTAAAAATCTTCCTTGATTACCGCATAACAAATCCAAGCCCTTCAAGTGGAAGAGTGAAACAACCACATAATCTAGTTGTTGCTTCACGAGCCTTTCTTTTATCAATGGTATCTTCATTTCTCAACAAGAAAAAATGAAATTAAGAAAAAGCAGTTATTTTTAACTATTTTGTGCGGAACAATGATAAATTATTTCTAAGCTGTCTCATTCCTTAACCGCTGAGATTCTCTCATTATCACTAACATAAATGCAAATCGTTAAGTGCCGGGAGCGTTCAAAATCAAATTCGAGCAATAATAACTTGGCAAGTTATCAACTTCTGAGGTGTGAGGTGTTCCGGTTGAACCATTGCACTCCAATCACTTTCTTTCAAAATCTGTTGAAACTGTGAAGTGAGCTCAGTAATGAAATACGTGCTGTTTTGGCGGTCTGAAGCTTATAAATATTCGTCAGTTAAGATTTGATTTGAGCTCAAGCAAACATCCAAAGGAACGAAAGCGTCGTTAGAGGTGAGACTTTGATTATCTTGATATACACCATATTTTTTGAGAAATTGGTCACTGGACAAAAGCTGCATTATTTGTGCATTAGCCTGAGGATGTTGGATTTCTGGCAGTAGCGGCGTTCCTATGTTTGGTAATAGCTGTTTGATAAGAGCAGTTTTTCTGGATTCATTCATCTTCAAGGCTTGAGCTTTGATGCCGCCAAGGAGGAGCACGCTTGAAAATGCTTTTATCAGCTGAATAAGATAATGATTAGTGGCTGATGATAAGACGCGACACCGATCAAAATTTGTTCTAAGGAAATGTGCTGTTTGCAGCTTACAGCCTACTTTCTTAAGACAAATTTTCGAGGTAAGGAATCCTTAATTAACTTTTCAGTAGGCCGAGTTCATAAGAATTCCTGTCTTAGTGGTTTGGGGTTGGTCATCTTGTTCAATTTTATTTGAATTGCTCGAGATTTTTGAAGGCTATCTTGTCTGACATGATAGCCTAAGGTTCTTTGGTTTCCTCGGTTCGCAAACCATTTAGTTTGTCGGCATTCTAAAGCAAGTAAGGTCAGGTGTTCTCATTCTCAGCTTTTACAAGCCAAAGCTGATTATCTTAGAAAATTATTCGGAATCTTGTTCTAAGGTACACTGGGATGGGAAAAAGCGCTCATTTCGTAAGATTTGTTCACTTAGTATCATTTCCGTTGATCTTGTACAATTTAGTTGGTAAAGGACCATTAGTCCTTTCGGATATTATACATCTGATGATAGTCCAAGATACCTGTAGAAACTTTCTGTCATTTTTGCATGCTCCGGGATTTGAAGACTCGTTTTTAAATCTTATCTCGCGTTACTGGCGCTACCCTATTTGAACTTTTATTCGTACAAATTCCTTCTAGGAAATATTCTACTACAAGTATGAGCCTCTTCAACTCCGAAGAATCAAATGCATCGCTCAATGACAAATTTTTGGCTGCAGTCGAAATAGTTCAGAATATACCCAAGGAAGGTATGTACATATTGATTGGTAAAACATTTTTACTTTACCTTTCGATATGTTCAAGAGGGTGCGAAAAAATGTACCCGGTCTTTTTTATGATTATCTCACAGATCTTTGCGCCCCTCGAGATGGCTAAGTGAAAAATAATGCAAATCATTAGCTACCTAATACCTGACCACCATTCATTTCGTTGTCATAACTGCCGAGAAAAAATTCTTTATGGACATGAGCGTCATACCATAGATAAACAGTGCCACTTTTGATAAACTCAGCTCTAAAAGAATGGTGGTGTTCATTCAGCTAGAACACGAGTCCTTCTTTGTGCCTTTGTCTGAAATACGCACTTTTCCAGGGCCGGTCACAACAACAACTGATGAAAAGCTTATGTTTTACTCTCTGTACAAGCAAGCTACACTTGGTCCATGTACTTCCTCAGCCTGGCTTCTGGAATGTTGTCGAAAAGTTCAAGTGGTCGGTTGATGATTGTTTCTCATGTAAAGGAAATTTCATTTTGCTAAGGATATTGATGGTGACATTTTTGAGTGTGAAGCGTTGAAATACAATTCAAATCTACTTTCTAGCTGAGTATATCATCAAATGGAAATTACCAAAGTAAATTCATTACAGGAACGCTTGGAAGGAACTTGGAGATATGGACACTCACCAAGCTAAAACTACTGACATTGACAAACTGATAGGAAAAATAATTTCGGCCAATGAGTACAACTCGATAAACTTTTCTTTACATTTTCTTTCGCTCACTGCAGAATCTTACTATTAGATGGAATTCCAAATTATTGCGAGGCAGAAGGAAGTGTGGAGGGAGAGATTCAAAACCACAACGTATGGCGCTATGGTATTAGTGAATATACTTTGGTAATTGGTATTAGCTTCTCTCCCTTCCCCCTCCCTGGCTTTTTCGACGTTTTAGAATGTTTGGTGCAT